TACCCCTTCCTTCATAAGAAATACCAGAGTCTTAAGCTGTCCTGGCAGCCTCAATGTTCTAACTCAATTCAAAGTACTTTCCTTTCATAGTCATTTCGACTTTGGTGTAGGGCTGCAAGTTGCAAGATGCTGGGTCCTGTGAGTGAGGAAAAGCTTGCTGTTCCCAGCCTGTTCTTCCATTGGACGGCCTTTGGTATCCTGAGTGGTGAAGACACTCAGAAAAAGAAGACACCAGGAACTGTTACAGAAAATGGCAAGGATAAAGGGATGAGTGTGTGCAAAGCTGAGGAGGGAGTATTTTAAAGATGATTGACAGTGATGGGTTTTACTGTAATACTTTTTAAAATGCAAACATTCACTGTATATTTTGTCTACCCGTTGTGCTGTTCATTTTGAAGCTCTTAGAGAACAGAGGCAAGGCCACAAGACACACCATGAGTGTAGTAAACTTGCTTCCTGTGAAGTCTAACTTGTTCCAAGAGACCCACCATGAGACCCTGATAAAGTGACAAGAACACCTGCTTCCAAGAAAAATCCTAAATACTCCTTGAGTCTTATTCAATCTGAGCAGAGAAATCACTTAATTTGGAGGTCACACAGCTAGTGACGCATGAGTTTCTCACTAGCAATGACAGCCTGACGCATGGATGGTAATAACCATTTCTGGGTTACTTCCAGGAGACCTGAAGGCCACTTCTACCACAAATATTGGCTCCTCGTGAGCTTAGTAAGAGCTGGTGGGGCTAAAGTGGCACCTCTGTCTTCACACTGTGTGTGCCTCCTCTGCTCTCATAACCCTTGAGGCCCACTCTATTCTTCCCATAGACTTGCTGATTGTTGAAACAGATTTGACCCCAGACTAAGCCACAAGCTTGCAGGCACTACTGCCCACTAGAATAGTAAACATTTTCTTTTCCTCTTACTCTCCCCTCTTTCCTTTCTATTACCTTGTAATTTTTCAGAAGCCAATGGATCTCAAGCACTGGAAGGGTCAAAAGCCACAGGGCTGGGATATTTGGTATAGGACAGTGACAGTGACAGCAGCTACACAGAAACTCAGCAGCCTCCCTCCAGAACAAGTTAACCATGGTTGTTACCAGACTGGGGGTCTCATGCAGGTTCCAGATGTCTTAAACAAGGAATGGAGCAGGATGCCTAAGAGGAGCAGCAGGGGCAATGAACTGTTTTAAAGAGAAAACACAAGATCCTCTCTACGGGATGAGAGAAGCCAGTGATAAGCTCAGGACACCAAGGCCAGTTTAGAGTTGAGGGTTTCGTTCTTTAGGCTTTTGGGTGAGATTGGGGGTTTGGTCTGAGGTTTGACACCTGCCTATGAGCAGCTTAACTCAGCCCCTCTGTCAAGCAGTAGAGTTTGCAATCTTTTATTGCCCTTGGAGGAAATATCATGGTGCCTGAAGTCCAAAGATGGGTCAAATCTGCATAATCAATGACATGGTAATTAGTGTTGGGTCAGTCAAGGGCTGCAGAAGAATACTAGGTACATGCCTGGGGACTTACTGTGTACTAGCTAAGCCAGCTGTTTACCTTTTCTGTTGTGTTTAGCTCTGGGCATCCTGGTCCTGGGCTAATGTTTAACTCAAAGGTAGATCCAGCTCCAGGAAGTAGACTGAAAGGCAAGCCCTCCCTCCTCTTACCAGTCATTTCCTTGGTTACCTGATGCCTAGGATCTTGTAAAGATGCTCCAAAGTAAGCTGATCCTCCTTTTCTCTCCACCCTTTTTCTTAGTCACCTCCTGGCTTGTGATCACCGAAGTGGGTCAAGTCCATCACAAGAAGAGACATCGTTTGAAACTTTACCCTTGGCAGGTGGGGATTACCAGACTTCAGCCCACCCCAGCAAAGCAGCAAAACTTTCCTATACTCCATGTGCAGCCTGATGACTCTGTTGGTCAATTGCTGATTCTGTTCAGCTGAAGCTTGATCTGTACGGAAGCATGTCTTAGCAATGTTTGACCTGGTCTTGTTTCTACCATCTGTGGGTCAAAAGATCCTGCACTGCAGTATGAATCCCTCAACATCTGTTCACTCGGCCCAGGCAGCTTTCCCAGATCCTGCTCCTCCAGCTGTACTTTCCACTCACTCCTCTAATCCCAAAGGCCCACTCTCCAAGCAATCTCATCCAGCAGAGGGACTGTCTACACTGCTACCCCATCTACATCTTGAGCCCTGTAAATCTAGGGGAGAAACACTCTGGGTATCTTTCCAATGCAGAGCCAAAGGCATCCAGTCATTTCCACATTCATACCTAACCTCAGCTTAACTCAATGCCTTTCACAATAGGCTCGATGTGTTTTATCATCATTTATGTCTATGGTTTTCAATTAGATTCTGGCTCATTTTTATAAGAGTTGACTGAAAAATGCCTGGAATGTTTTTTTTTTTTTTTTTTTTTTTTGTCTTTTTCTATCGGTACCGGGGATTGAACTCACGACCACATACCTGCAAGGCAGGTGCTTATGCCACTGAGCTAAACCCCCAGCCCCTGAATGTTTAAATTTTTTAAAAAAGATTACTACAACACACATTGTGAAATGATGTATTAAGTGAGTTCTGGACAAAGGAAAGTATTTTTAAGGGATTAATGGCAACATGTCTTTACTATAGTAAACTAGTTTACTTAAACATTCACTGTATTTTTTGAACACCTCTCATTGATCAAATGTTCACAGCAATTTCTGTCAAATGAAAACATGATGCTGTGCCCTTATTCATCAGATCTAACATCATGCAACTTCCAGCTCTTCCTCAAAGTGAAAATGATCAGGAAAGGGTGACACTTTGAATCCATTCAGGACATGGAGGTAGCCAGGACAGCCGTTAAAGGCCCTCAGGAAAGAGGACTCCAGAGCTGCTGCAGGAAGCAGCAAGGATGATGGGGTGAGTGTGTGCAAAGTAAGAGAGAATATTTTGAGGGGGTTCCATGGCAATGTGTCTCTTATTGCAAGATTTTTAAAAATTAGCATTCATTGTATTTTTCAGTAATACCTCAGTCTATTTCGGATTGTGGAGATTGTCAGTTTCTAAGGCTACCCTTTCTCATGGAGTGCTTTGCTGTCATGGAAACACAGTAGGGAAGATGTTTATGATGTGGTCCAGCACCCCTCTAAGTCCAAGCAAGGCTGCCCCCGCCCAGCCTGTCTGGCACCTTCCTGTAGGAAGGCTCCGCTTAGCACTGTTATCAAGCCCTACTGTGCTATTTGGTGTCTTTGGGAAGTTCGCTAAATCCTGTCTCCCATCCTCTCTCCCTCCTTTCCTGGGCCTGGTAATAGTGCTTGGTCATCTTCCCACTGCGGGAGGAAATAGCTGCATGTTCTGGCCTTCAGTTTCGTGTTAACGAATGAGTTGTCCATTCTTTCATGAAATGTAGATGAGGCAGACAAAAACCAAGGTGAAACATTCCCATCTTTGGCTCACTATGAGAATGGGCAGGCTGTCTTCATCTTTGGGTCTGTGTCAGCAGACCAACCAACTGCAGACTGAAAATATCCAGAAAAAAAAATTCAGTCTTTGAAACGTGGAAAGCCAATTTTTCTTTCTTCCAGTGGGCATGTTTAGCCCTTTTGTCAAATATAAGGTGGCTGAGTGTCATTCTAGTTGTGTTTGCATGTTCTAATCTGTTCCATTTATCCTCAGGTCTGTTTTTCTGCCAGTACTATGCTGATTTTATCACTGTAGCTCTGTAGTATAATTTCAAGTCAGCAATTGAGATGCCTCCTGCCTTGCCTTTGTTGCCCAGGATTGCCTTTGATATACTAGGTTTCTTCTGTTTCCAAATGAATTTTAGGAATGTTTTCCCTAGATCTGTAAGACATGTCAGACTCACATTTATAAATATGTCTCCCTCATGTAAAAAAATAAAATAAAAAACTGAAAGAGTAATAAGGTCCCAAATGTACAAGAGATATTATAATGAAAGGTAAAGAACCTTCAGAAAGAAAGAACTGAGATGTGGGAAAGAAAGGGAGACAGGAAACGCTTCTATGTATGTAGCTGTACATCTAGAACTATGTATATGTGTGTGAGATAGACAACTATATTACTAACTTGTTAATTCATCAAAAAGAAGTTTGTGCTGTTGTCTGATTCTTTGACCATTTTTATGCCTAGATCTTGTAACCTGAACTACTTCTAAGATAACAATATGCAACATATTAACTAATGTTGATTTCTTTTTGAAATTCTGTATTATTTCTATTCTTTTTTGTTTTGATTTTTGAAATAAGTTTTTAAAAATGGGAAAAAATTCAAATTGCTTCTATTCTTTTTTGTTTTGATTTTTAAAATGTTTTTAAAAATGGAAAAAATTCAAATTGCTTCTGTACTGAACATGGAACTTTCTTGTGATTATTCCTAAAATAATAGCAATTATTTATTTAAAAAAAATGAAAGGATAAAGAAGTACAACAAAGTATCTCCAACTGTTTGCACAGAAGTTTAGGATTTCCACTGTACTAGGTTTTATGCATAGTCTACAGACGGCTGAAAGTGTACAGAGGGATGTGTTTGGATTATGTGCCAACACCACACCATTTCAAACCAAGTGCTTGGACATCTGTGGAGTACAGCAGCTGACAGGGATCATGTTTCTTGGTGAATTAGAAGTATCGATAGTTATTCTGCTTTTCTTTTTCCAGGAGGAAAAGATGCTGCCTTGGAGGATGCTGCCGGGCAAAGTTGGCAGGTTGGTCTGGTAGTCATCCTTGTGGATGGAGAAAAAATACTATGCAAGGTGTTCCTGGTGCTGATGACTGGTCAGGCTCCACAGGGAACAATGCAGGTGTTGCTGGAAGTACTCCCTTACTCAAGGACCCTAAACATTTTTGCATCCAACAAGGGAGACCCCTCCTGAGAAAGAAAAAAGCTTCAAAAATAAACTCAGGGTTCCTAGTAGCACAGGGGCTCTCCCTGCTCTCTACCTTCTACCTCCTCCCCCACCTCCAACCCTCACGCACCCAACCTTCACAAAACAGGAGCCGAGGAGGATTTGGAAAGTCACCTGTATTCCAGCCAAAAAAGCTTTAAAAAGAAATCCCTTTGAAAGGGGAACAAACTACGTAAGATACAATACATTTAAAATACGTATTGAAATTACAAACCAGGCGTTTCCATAGGGATTCCAAAGTACAAAATGCAACAGGAAAAAGGCATTCAAACTGAGCTTCCGTACATCACAGTGTCGGTGGCGCAGAACGTACGGACGCTGCAAAGGACACAAAACCGAACTCGTTTGGTTTTTGTTCGACCACCACTCGTCAAATGCATAATGCACACATGTGCATGACTCTCATGCAAATTTTTATACAAGATTAAAATACACTTATAGCCAAGTGGGTAAAGAAGAAAAACAAAGACCAGGCACGCAGCTCCCCTAACGGAAGGCTCCTGAAATCATGGAAGACGAGATTACACAAATTAGAACAGTGATGGAGAATTGTGGGGCTTAAATATAAGACAGCATGCTCCTTACTTGTGATGTCCTAGCAATTACATTTCAGTGCAGGTCACTGCTGCATTGGGAATCTCGATAACAACCCATCAAATCTCTGTTTTATTTAATTTCATAAGGGCTTACGTTAATTATATGAAACAGACTTTGGTATTTTTTTAAGAGACCTTCACGAAGTTGAGTACATGCAAACTATTTTCCCTCAGTAGTCTGTGACTGACATAAGTATATATACAGGTGTGTGGGTTAGTAATAGCCCCAAAGCCCACCCTCGTCCCCTCATTTTGAAAGACTACCCATAGAAAAGTTTTCTAATTGCTAAACAACTTTTTCCTTTTGCAAAGAACGTAGAAAAGATAAAACTCATCTTGCTATCATTTTTTTGTCCCTAGCAAACTCTCCCCACAATAGGCACTGTGTTCTTATCAGGAATTATTGGCCTGGATCCCAAGTCAGGTTTCATTGTTCTTTGTTTGTCCAGTTTTTTTGAGACAAGGTGTTGTTGGGTGGCCCAGGCTGGCCTCCCACTCACGGTGATGTTTCTGCCTCAGCCTCCCGAGTGCTGGGATGCATCACTTTGCCCACCCCAGTCAGTTTTACGGAATAATATTCTCCAACGATGCAGAGGGGGTAGATGCCATCTTCTTGGCCTGAGTCTCTCTTGAACACTCAGGAAGAAGAGCTGACGGGCATAGTAATTCATGTGACATTTAGCTGAATGCCAAGTTGACACTGGCCAGCAAGCATCCATGATGACTCTGTCTTTGAAGGTGGTGGCCCTGGGTTATCTGCAAAGCTCAGATCACCGGGACACAGGATCCAGTATGACCTGGAAATAGGGTCAGTTGCCAAAGGGCCTCGGATAACTGATAGGTCAACCATGTCCTCTGCAGACCCCCAGCTGGTCAGCCCTGAAGCACCCATGGCTATCTGAGGGTCTCTCCCATCCCTGGGACTTGACAGGCTCTACAGGAATGGGCACCAAGTACTTTTGGGCAAAGAAGTGTAAAGTATCTAAAACAAATGAATGTCGCTTTTCACCTGGGAGATACCACGGTAAGTAACAGGAACAAGCCCATGTCGTAAGTACGGAACTCTCTGGGTGCTGTTGGGGGGTGAGAGCAAGACCAAAGCTCTGCCGCCCAACATCTATTTGCATTTTACGGCAAGTGTGACTAAGACCGCATCCCCACAGCAAATGGACAAAGGAGTTCTTCTCTCAGGGAGGCAGAGCAGGGGAACCAAAGGGTGAGCGTATCAGTGTGATCCTGGTGGTTACAGAGGGAAGGGAGAGATTTAATTTTATTACTGAATGATTTGAAGAAGTGGGAGGTGTGTTTGACATGAAAGCCCAGAGCCCTCTGACTGCCCCTGGAACTGCTGTGGTCCCTGCCTGGGTCAAACCCCGTGTTTGCAAACCACAGCAGGTGAAGGCACAAGGAGGGCTGGGGCGACGGATACTCATGAGCAGGCCAGAGACTCCTTGAGATGGGAGGATGGGCTGTCCCCCTAGGAACACGGAACCTAAGATACCATCCTGGAGGTGAACTCGCCCAAAGCTCCCCCACCCCATCCCAAGGACAATGAGTACTGTACAGGTTTGGGTGCTAGATGGGAGGAACTGGGTCTCCTGCTGCCCTGTGGGCCACTGGACACAAGGCCACGGTCTGCAACCTTTGACAGGCCTTTTAAAGGGTGGTAGCTGCATCTATAAACTGCAGACTGAGGTCTTGAGCCACTGAGCAAGGCGTGAAGCTGGTCACCCACGCTGACATCAGCCACACCAACACCCATGGGCAGGCTCCCCGCAGGAAGATGGCCAGAGCCATCCACTCATTTCATTACTGACCCTATACTCTGCAGTCACAGAGAGAACTCTGGAGACATAATTGTGACACAGGCTGGTCTTCTAAATGGCTTTACTTTCATGAAGGAAATCAGGAACTTAGTGGTGAAAAGAAATTCTGCTTTTTTCCTCAGCTGTTCACTGTCAAGAAATAAAGAAGGAATCTCTACACAGAAAAGAAGAGGACCTGAGATGAACACATGGATGTGGAATTAAGCACACACAAGATAACCACGTTTTAAAAATGTGCTTGCAGGTCCCAAGATCTAGCTCAGTCGCACAGTGCCTGCCTGGCAAGCACAGGGTCATGAGTTCTATCCCGGGACCAAAAAATAAAAAATAAAAAGAAAGTGCTTGCAATGAACAAATGAGGGAGATAAAAGGAGTCTTTGTTTTCCTTCTTTTTTTTTTAGGTCACTTAAAAAGCCTTAAGAAATTGCACTGTAATAAATCTGTGACATTTGCCTTTTGCTCACAACAAGCACATTTGGCTTTGGAAGTCAGTTCTTCATGAAGAAAACTTTCTCCACTTTCTAAAGTTGATTAATGGAATAATGCATGTGCTGTTATTGATTGGTCCACTATTGTGTGGAAACAGTCACATACCACCCATCCTGTAAAAGACAAAGTGGTAAAATTTTCATAGCAAAATGACTAAAGGAAAGGGGTGGGTTTTTTTTCTAAGCAAGGGCAAACTGGTCAACTAGAGGATTTGAAACTGTGGGAGACACATGATTTTTCAAAATTACGTAAAGCATTTAAAAAATGTGGGAATCCAGAAAACTCCAGCCTGGTGTCCAAAATTCCCCCAGGCCCTGGCAGGAGGCCCTGTGTCTGAGGATGGATTATGCAATTTTCTTCTTCCTACTTGAAAACTAGGGCAAGAGGCTACACTGGGTAGAACAGCTTCCAAGTAAAACATTTGGCTTGAAGTCATCAATACAAGTGTTTGCTGCTACCTGGGTGAAATGGGATGAGCCCTGTGAGTTGAAACGCCAAAGAAATGAAAGGCAAATCTAGCTGAGATGTTCTTTTACCCATGTCGATATTTTCAGAAAAATGTAACAAACATAGGAACTGTGTTCACAACAGGACACAGCTTACAGCATTCAGAAAGTTACTACAGCAAGTTTCAAGGAAAACTCCGAGTGCGTAAGGCTTTCTGATCACCTGAAAAGTGGTCAAGCCAGAAAAGTCATTTCACTGAACTTCTCAAAACGCACACTTCAAGAAAGGCATAGGATGGTTTGTATGCACCTTGTCGATTTTCACTACTCAGTTGGGAAAAAGAAAGCCTTCTAGAAAGGATTTTACTAAATGCCATTAGTAATAAAAATAGTTGTCATACACAGTTGAGTGCTTTCCTCAAGGTGGAATAACGGAATTCCGTCTGAAGAGAGTTGTAATCCTTGAAAGACTCCTCCGCACGGCATGGCGCCATCTTGGTCCAGAGGTGATGATGGGCAACGCTCAGTTGAGGTCTCCTCCCCCCGCCCCAGATGCTCCTAGTCTATGCCAGGGGAGGAAACTACCTACTGTGCTTCTTGCCACACCAGTGGTCACATCTACAGAGGCTGATTCTGGGACGTGCCCCCCTCCCCGGCCTTGCCTTCCCCATGCCTAAGTGACCTCACCTGGGGCCTTGGAGAATGTCCTGACATTGGTCCCTGAAATCATGGCATCCAGCCTGACACTGTGAAGCTCAGTGGGGCACATAAGGCAAGAAAAATGTTTAGTGGGAGGGGGACAGAAAGGTGAGGGTGGGGGAGCCACGGTTTCTGGAACGACGTCTCCTTCCAGTATTGTCCTTTCCTCTAGGTGGGCAGTGGGTCATCATCACCTTTACTGCACTTGCACTTGCAGCACAGTACAAAGGGGGTGGCCAGGAGTAGAAAGGGAGAAGCCACCAGAAGCAGGAGCCCAAATCCAGCAAAGATGCCCACGACCTGGAAGAAAGGAAACAGAGGAAGGAAGGAGGGAGGGTTTGCAGGATCCGTGACTAAAATATAAACCACACAACCACCCATCACCTCTCCATCAATGCATCCATCCAACCAGGCATTCGACCACCTACTGTCATTAATCTAGCCTTCCACATAAGCATTCATCCACCCAACCATCCATCCATCCATCCATCTACTCTCCCACCATCCATTCACCTATCCATCCATCCATCCACCCACCCATCCATCTATCCATCCTCTAACCTATCCATTCACCCATCTATCTATTCAACCAATCATCTACTCATGGATTCATCTACCTATACACTTACCCATACATCCATCTGTCTACCTATCCATCCATCCATCCATCCATGCATCCATTCATCCACCCATCCATCCATACATCATCCGTATTTCCTTCACTTCACTTTTCCCTCTCTCTTCATTTCCTACATTGTTCCTTCCTTTCTTTTCCCTCCCTCCATCCATCTATGTAACCAATTAACCAAACAGCCCCTGAACACCCCATAGCCAGTCCAACCCAGTCAGGGTAGTAGGTGCATCAAATACAAGGGCACCTGAAATCTTGGTCCAAGGCACATCCCATCTGGTATGGAAACACCAGTATTTAATCAGTCTACAAAGGTACATCTCGCTGACACTGCACGCAAATTCCGGTGCAAAGGGATTCCAAGTGACAGCTGAAACATGTACTAGAGGAAGGAAGGGTTTCCAATGGGAAACGGACGAGATCATAGACATTAGAAGTTTGTATTAACAAACTTATAATAAAGGAAGGAGTCCCCTGGTCTATAAACGCTGAAAGGCATGGGCTTCGAATGCAGAAATGTTCAAAGGAGTGTGGAATCTGCTCTTTGTGTGGCCTTGCCCCTCAGTTACATCCCTATCAGGGGTAAGAGTGCAGAGCTGAGATGGGAACACAGCGCTAAACCACCACCTGGTGTTCAGAGCCATAAGGCCATGGCACAGGACGTGAGATTCTCATTCCACCTCCACTTCTCCTTGTGTCTGTTTTCTCAACTGTAAAATAATCAAAGGAGGCTAAAGATCTGAGGGCCATGATTTGCTCTAACAAAGCTACTGTGTGCTAAAGCATCCCAGATGTGTGAAAGAAAAGTTACCTGGACTTTTGATTTCTCCTGAAAACCAACACATACGTGTGCACGCGCGCATACACACACACACACACACACACACACACACACACACACACGTGCGCGCGCGCGCGCGCACAGCACACAAAGTGTATACACTTACAGTGCTTAATAAACAGTGTCACACTGTACTAATAAACTGTATACTGCTGACACTAAGAACCCACTGCTGCTGCCTGGCTAGAAATCACGAACCCAGTCATACAGAGTGAATGCGATTATGCTCCACAGAAATCTCACGCACATCGTTATGTCTGAATCCACAAGACCACAGTGAGGTCTCATTTGGAAGGCACATTTGAGAATCTCTGCTGCCTGGCCCAGAATGATCGTCTTGAAGAACTGCACATCCTCTGCAGTCAAATCCGTGCCCAGTGCTCTCATTCTTGCCCTTGAGAAGCCATCTTGGTTTCTCTTTTTTGAATCTCACTTTGCATGCTATTTGGCAAGGTGGGTGACCAAGCTGTGACCCAGTGGTGATAAGGAGAGGTATTGCCAGAAAGGCAGTTTATAGGAAATGAGACAGAGGCAAATATCACGAAGCAAAATCAGTCAGCAAGCATGCTGTAAGCATCAGTGCTGGACCCTGTATGTTAGAGCCAGAGTACTGGGTGGGCATCTAGGAGAGTCCGACACGCACAGTGACCTCTGGCTTGGCAAACCCTGAGCTCTATAGAAGTAAACCCCTCACCCTGATTCCTTAAGCTGTACTCAGAGAATAATCAGACCACATGCTTTGTGAGCCATTTCAAGTCTCTGTTCTGCTCGGCACCTCACTTGTAAGAAATGCCCACACAGTGGTCATGGGATGGTCTAGTTGCAGTGAAACTAATCACGCACTGAATGAGTTGGAGAATTCATCTCCCAACTTCATGTTAGTGTTTGGGAAAACCAGAGCTATGTGAAGGAACAGAATACCTGATTCCACTGAAACCTGTATCATAACATATGCAGAGCGGGACATGGACAGGACACACAGATGGACAGATGGTGACAAGGATCAGGTAGCAGTGACAGGAGGGGCCAAGAAGGGAGGAAGGGAGAACACGGGAGCTTTAGTCTGCAAAGGGCAAAGGGGGAAAAGAGGAGAACATGACTGGCAAACCCAGGATTCTCCTGCGGGAGCAAACGGGACCCTGCATAGGGCCTCTGTCAAAGGCTGCTTGCTCTACAGCCTGGTGATGATGGACAAGAGGACTTGGCTTCATGAAGCCTGGACACCATGTCTTGGGTTTCCCAAAGAACCACATACCTGCCTGGAGCCTGGTCTGCGGAGGACATGGGGTCTGTGTCACAGATGTCCATCTCACACAACTCACACAATCAACCATCACCATTCCCCCAGCTATCCATTCCTGGTATCAATCTGCTCATCTAGGAAGCTCGGCACTGGGTGGTGTCCACAGATGAAGGACACACAGCCGAAGTCACGAGAAACCACACAAGCATTAAGTCTGCTGTGACTTCAGCCCAGGAGAAAGCCAGCAAGGGCTACACCCCAGGCTCAGCCTCTCTGTACAGTAGATCTTTGATCAATGCGTCTTCTATCAATGACACATACCAGGCACACACAGTGCACGCCCATGTGGGCACACACATGCACACACCCACCCACGCACCCTCTCCTGAGATCCGCCTCTTACCTGTGTCCGATGCCAGATTACAGAAGCCCGCGAGTGGCCCAGCTTGTTTCGGCAGGGTCCCTTGTCGTAGTGGATCAGGAGGAAGTCATCCTGTGGAGCCGGGAGAGGGCAGTGGTGAGCATCACGACTCTGGTCAGCTCCTTGATGACAGGCACCTGAACTGTGCCTCCTTCTACTGCACAGCTGGCTACTGTTACCCAGAGCAGCTGTAACCTCCAGGGAGCAGCCCCAAAAGCTCAGACTTCTGGCTCTGGTCCACAGCAGGACCCTGGCACTGGGGTTCTGTTCTGGGCTTGCAGGGAACAGCGAATCTCTGCTGCCCACTGAAGGACCAGGTCCATGCCTCCTCCTGGGAGCACCTCTTGGGCTTGGCTGTGTCTCACACCCCAGCTCCATCGCAAAAGGGTCACCCCTGAGCGTGTACCATGGGTTTCACTGGTCTCCCGCCACCACTAACTTCTTCCCTGCAAAGTGCTCCCTCCAACACTGAGATCACCATGAGCTTTTGGCCTCACAGAGCACCTCCAGGGCCTGGCTGTGTCTCACACCCCAGTTCCATTGCAAGAGGGTCACCCCTGAGCGTGCACCAGGGGTTTCACCCTGGTCTCCCACCAACACTAGCTTCTTCCCTGCAAAGTGCTCCCTCCAACACTGAGATCACCATGAGCTTTTGGTTCTGAACTGGCCCAGGGACCACCTTGTCCCCACGACTGTGCCAACTACCCGGATTGAGCCATGTCCTCCTGCTGGGAGCTCACGGGGACAGTTGGCCAGGCTCCCCTGTCCATCTGTGCCCCCAGGACAATCTTTCCCACACCTGCCTCAGTGCAGGTCTGACACCCCCCATTCCTCAGCACTGTCCTGGCTGTTAGAGTGCAATGGCAGGGCCTTCACCAGAGACTGGAACTCCAGCAGCTGCCCCAACTTCCCCTTCTGCCCCAAATCTGCACCCTGGAAAGGCGGGACCGACAGACTGCCAGCCTCTCCGGCCAGACCGCTGCCTCTGACACAGCCATTTCTGGCCCCTTCTGTGTCCCTTGAGCTCTGAATTGCCCTTCTCTGTGCAGACCTTAGCACTCAGACCACCAAGACCACCCACCTCAAGGGCCTTCTGCAGGCCATGCTTCCCAGACTGCCTCGCCACGGCTCTGATGAAGGCACTGTAATCACTTTCTCACACAAGCCAGGCCACGCAGCACCACTGGTTTAAAAGGTTTGAAAAGGGCCTTTCTCTCCGAGATCTGCTACAACCCCCCGAAATGCATCCATGTCTGGGCTATAACCTACACGGCCAATGCAATTTTACAGGTGAGCTTTCTTCCTTTGACTTATTTTTTATTTTTAAATTTTTTAGATGCCCGTTTTTATTATGTTTGCAGTAATGTTCATACTCCACACATGGAGCTGGTGTGGGTGCAGAATGGAGATCCATTTTCTTTCCATCCCCCTCCCTCCCTCTCCCTCTCTTAGTCCTTTTACCACATGCAAAAGACTTCTCTCCCTGTTTCTTATTAACTGTCTTTTGTTTTACTGTTTAGTTTATTGGTGTTCCGCATTTCTCACAGAAGAGAAACCATGTGACAGTTAAGCCCGAGGGTCCAATTTATTTCACTTAAAGTTGTGCTCTCAAGCCGCATCCATTTTCCTACAAACAACTCCTAGTTTTTCCGTTTTTGTTTTTTTTTCTGTTTTTTTGCTTTTTCCCTTTAGAGACAGTGGCTTCCATACACTTCCTCTTCCTTGGGCATAACATGCCTTCTCCACAGAGACCAGATATAGGGACAGAAACACAAGGTCCCTCTGCCCGGGATAGGTAGAGGAGGGGAGGGTTCTGGGAGCTACTTCCTGGGGAGTCTTGAGTTCCTCAGACATCCCGAGGCAAATGGGTCCCTCACCTCCTCTAAGCAGGCTGGGATAAGGCCTTTCTCCTTCTGTTTTCCAAAGTAAAGGGCACCGTTGGGTTTGGTTAAGAAAGCAAGTGCACCGGAGTGGTAACAAACAAGGCCGCGGACACCCTGTGTCCTCCTCCATCCTGTCTAGTCTGTGGTAGTTATTGGTCTTCTGGTGAACCTCAGACTGTCAGAGACCCTGAGACCACGATCTAGGTGGTGCTACTCCAGGGGCTGCCAGTGGGCTACACCCACCCCAAGCAGCTGTGTCCTCTTCCTAGAGATATAGAGGTGTTGCATGTAGTGGGATTTCCGGCCAGGGAGGATCGGCTCTTTCACCTCAAGATCTGTAGATTCAAGACAGGGTCTCACTATATAGTTCAGGATGGCTTTGAATTTGCTTAGGTAGCCCAGGATGGCCTTGAACTTGCAGTGATTTTCCTGTCTCAGCATCGTGAGTGCTGGGATGACAGTCGTGCACCACCACGCCAGGCAAGATCTGTGCATCTGTACTTGTGCCCTCACCACCTAGAGGGAGCTGCCCACACTCAACGTGGTCTCCAGAAAACAAGGAGAGTGTTCAAGACAGGCTTTCTAGCCAGGTCTGAGGCTAGGTGCACACCTGTCATCCCAGCATTCTGTGAGGCTGAGGCAGGAGGATCTCAAGTTCAAGCCTAGGCAACTTTAGGACTTAACAAGACAAGGCTCTGGCAAAAAAAAAAAAAAAAAAAAAAAAGAAGTCGAGGTAGAGTTCAGCATAAAGGCACTGGGTACAATCCTCAGGAACACACACACACAGAGAATAAGTGTGTTTTCTTACCCATGACCAAGGCACTCTCCTACCACCTCAGGACATAAAAGCTTCTAACTGTGGTATCACATTTATTGATGAAGCCCTTGGGCAGAACCTAGCAGGATAATCGGGGCAGGAATCATTTCCCTTGCTATTGTGTGTAACTTCACTGAATCCTGGTGGGACAGAAACAATGGCACAAGGTAGAGAAAGCTACAAGCAGCTTGTACAAAAATAAACCCCTGAGCAGGCCTGTATCCAAGGGTTAATGCATCCCGCCCTCAGTATGAAAGGTCAGAGCCTGCACATTAGGTCCTCCAGCTCACCAATCAGAGCCTTTGAAGAAATGCTGATAAACCCCTCAATTTCCCCTGGAAAATGGGAATAAGAATCTCAAACGCTGGGTGTGGTGGTGCACACCCTTAATCCCAGTGCTCTTGGAGGTTAAGGCAGGAGGATCACAAATTCCAGCCTTACCTGAACAACTCTGCGACTCAGGAAGATACTGTCTAAAAGCAAAAAGTAAAAGAGGGCTAGAGATGAAGCTCAATGCCAAGGCCTGAGCTTTAATTCTCAAGTACAAAAAAAAAATCCCTGTTCAAGGAGAGGCTGCAAGATCTGAATGAAGGTGTGCAGAGAGACGCTGACCTCCACAAGCACTCATTCTCTATTAACCATGAGGAAAAACCGTCGCCTGTGATCGGCAGGTGCTGGGGCAGTGTGGATGGTCAGAAGCAACCAGCATGCACCAGAGGAAGAGTACTGGGGCTTAGGGACCATCAAAGGGGACGGAATGCCGGGAAGGGGCCTGGTGACACCGCACTTGTGCTGGGCATTCACAGCAGGACACACAAGGAGACCCATGGGTAACGCACCTTACAGCACCCAAATGATGGTGCCACACGTCCAATTGAGTCCCAGCAGGGAATGACCTTGGTGAAGCAGCCACACCCACGGTGTGCAGAGACCTCTGAGCTCAGGCACTGAGGCTCAGGCCTGGGGCTCTCGGAATTACATGGAGAACCTGGGGGCAGGGGGTGGGGGGACTTCAGGCTTTTTTCTTTATCTTTGTTTGGTTGTATTTTTCTTTTGTCTGATATTGGGGATTGAACACAGGGTGTCACACTGAGCTCCACCCCCAATCCGTCTTTATTTTTTCTTTTGAGACAGGGTCTTGCTACAGTGTTTAAGTTATCCAGGCTGAGCTCCAACTTGTGATTCTCCTGCCTCAGCCTCTCAAAGTGCTGGAATCACAGGTTAGCAGCATGGCGAAAACATTTTCCACACCTACGAGCTACTCCTTCTCTTTTGTCCTGGCAGCCTCTGACCAGACCTGCTCTTGTTACAGCTCTGACTCCTTTCCCGTTGAGAGTAGAAGTCTGTGTAGAAAGCCTGGGCTATGCCTCTTTTTCTCTAGATGCAGTCTCATTTCCACCATTTCTGGACCTAAGGACAGAACCCTGGTAACCATAGGATGAGGAAGAAGCAGTGAGAGTGATTTACAGCCGTGCATGCCAGTGTGTGCATGGAATTGTGTGCCAGTGGCAATTCTCTTCCTGAAAGGCCCTCCTCACTCCTCCCCCAGATGCATTCCTGGCTGGCTTCCAGCCCTGCAGCTCTGAGCCCAGTGAGAGCCCAGCGAATGTCCTTGACAAACTGCCCACATAGTAACCTCCCCCTCCTCCCAAAACTGCTCTGTGCAAAAACAGGGTCATTTTTCATCAGCTCTTCATTCCAAAGCAAGACAGGAAGCTGTTGGCTGCAAGGAAAGTTTGTTTGATGGAGAAAGAGTACCAGGTGGATCTCCTGGGTCCAGGCAGGGGCTGGATTTTAGGAACAGGGCAGGCCGGAAGTGGCTGCTTCCAGGGCGGCTCGAAGGAGCAAGGGCTTCTTCCTTTCTTCCTTCTCTTCTTCGGGAAGAGCAGCAGAAACTAGGATAACACCAAATACCAAGCACCTTCTCCACCCATTTCTAACATGGCCCCACAAGGTCCTCAAGAGGAGTCTGATAGCAAGGTCAGAAACTGTGCGTCTCACTTCCTTCCCCTTTAGAGAAGATACACCCAGCAGCACAGTGCAAGCCTGATATGGAGACCAAATCATTATTCCATGACCAGCTTTCAAAACACCTGGAATACGGTATAAAACGCACAAAGGACGTTGTAGGCGTCACAGCCCTTTAACTGTCATCACAAGCCTGCCCTTGCCACCACACGAGGTCAGAGAACAGCCTCGGAGTTCTGACTTCAGCACAAGAAAAGGAATCTGGCAACAGATCCAATAAACTTGACCGAGCAGAGGAAACGAAAGTTTGCAAAACAGAATGGAAATATTTCTTCCAGATCTGCACAGCTGTACTACATTCTACGCTACATTCAGTAACAGAACCATGGGCTTTTAAAAGAGCAACTCCCAGTGCAACAGAGATCTAGCTAATTTTTTTTTTTTTAAAACCAAGGACCTATTTCCATATTGCCTATTCCATCTCAACAAGATACTCCTTTCCTTCTTGACTGTTTGTCTGCAGGGTTGCTCTGAGGAGGAGAAGCAAACTTCCTAAAGTTGTTCCACTCTGTTCAACCCGCTGAGCCCCAGGGCAAAGGTGTAACCATTTCTCTATGCTGTTTCTTAACACCCCAGCTAATGAGCTAAGCGAAAGTTCTGACAGTCACTCAGTAACCATCATATTAGACAGTCAAGGTCAGAAAGAACAGAACTTGGAGTGGATGAACTCCACAGGGTATAAAGCAGGGATCCAGACCCTCCTCCATTGGAACGAGATCTCTGGCTTCATGCTGTTGTTGAATGAACTGAACGCAGGCATCCTTGTTGTACAGAAGAGACACCCACGCACACTTCCCAGCACATTTCACTCTGCATGGACAACTGCCCCCCCACTACCCAAAGAAACCATCAGATCCGCTATTTAATCACAGCTTTAAAATATACGTGCATGTGGGCTCTGCTAAACTCAAGTCACAGCATCTCATGGTGGCAGGAAGCCAACCTCTACCAAGGCCTAGAAGGAAAGCTGGAAGTTGAAAAGTATCCCTTGCAGCAGGCCTGGAAGCCCCCGGGAAAGCCTGGGGCTGGGTGTGTGAGGTGCTGCAGGTGTCGGGGTCAGAATAAACCACATGCAACACTATCCATGCCTCCCCACAGGCCCAGTCAAGCCCCGCTATACAGCAGGTGTGGGGCACGTAAGAGGACTTCAGGGGCAGGCCAGGAATATCAGCCTCCTGGATGGCAAGGGTCACAATCACTTCTTGTCGTGCAGGTGCCCACACCCATGCCTCTAAGGGTCCTGGCTATCGATGGAGTATTTCTGTCCTTCCACCAGAATCCTTTTATGGAAGCCCTAAGCTCTAGCGTGTCTGGGTCAGGCAGCTGGATCTTTGCAGCTGATTGGATGGGGTCTTGAGAGGGGCGTCAAAGGACAGGATCTATGTCCCACAAGGAAGAGACCAGAGCTCTGTGTCTCTCTGCCATGGGAGGCCACGAGGAAAAGATGGCTGTCTATACCCAGGCCAGAGTCCACAACAGGAGCCAGCTCTGCAGGCTCCCTTTACCCTGGAGCCCTTCCTGCATCCACAGGGTCTGCTTGTCCCTGTCTAGAGACAAGGTCTAGCTAGGTAGTGCAGGCTGGCCTTGAATCACAGCCTCGGCCTCCCTGGGTGCTGGGTTTCCAGGTCAGCATGCCTGGCTCAGATCTGCAGGGACAGAAGACCCCCAGCCTCCCCTGCCTTAAGAAAAAAACGTCTTTCCTTGAGACCGCCCTGTCTCTGCACAGCACCCAAACCCACGGCATAGGTGCGCCTTACACAGAAGCCTGAGAATAAACAGATCACCCACACAGAAAAGCACCTCCTGGAGCAGCTGTCCTAGGCCCTAGCAATAGCCACTGCTCGCTGCCAGGCACAGCCCCCCCCTGCCCGCCTCCGCCCAAGGCGTGTGCCCCTCCCCTGCGCCCAGTTTGCCCTACTCACGTCCAGTGACTCCAGGCAGTACCAGCAGAAGGCGTGCTTGCAGTTCTTGCACATCATCTGCGCGCAGCCCTCATCCCGCTCAATGTACACCCTGCACTTGGGGCAGCGCTTGATGGGCACGGCGTCCTCGTCCAGCTTCAACCCGGAGCTGTGGAGGAAACTGCGTGAGCCTACGTGCTGGGGCCTGCGCCCTGCTGCATACAGGAGCCAGCCCGTGCGGTGGTGCACTCCCGCAAAATCACCATGGGAGAGGCTGAGGCAGGAGGGGCCCGAGGGGCAGCCCAGCCTGGGCAACTTAGTGACTTAGGGAGATCCTGTCTCAGAGTTTAAAAAGGTCTTGGGGTCTTGGGACAGAGCTCCGTGTGATGCCGTGGGGTGGAATCCCCAAGACAAAAGGAAAAAGAACAGAAATAAAATGGAGAAGCCTGCCTTTAAAATAATCGTGGGATGGCTGTGCCCGGTCACTGACAGGGCAGGGAGAGAAAACTGGAAGAGGTTTTCCCTGTGTTTAGAGGGTTTGCCTGGCCTATCTGAGTCCTGGAGCTTTCCTACACTGCTGCAAAAAATAAAATAAAATCAGAAACATTAAAAAAAACAAAAAAACAAAAAACAAGGAAGGAAAAAGTAAGAACAAAAAGAGAAGCTCTGGCGTGTTGTTTGTATAAACATTTCCACAGAGCAGGTAATGGTTTTTAGACATTTCCAGGATCTGCATGACACTTAAAATTATTATTAATAACAAATTTCGATACAGATTCAAACATATAAAAGCAACTAGGATGCTGCACCAGTTTAACCCCAAACTGTATGTGCTGGGGTCAGAAAGGGTTCAAGGATGTTAATGAGTGACACTGGTCATTTGACAGACAGAAGGACAAAGAGAAGGTTTCACCTCAAAAGTAAACAAAAAGGTGAGGCGTGATGGTGACACCCAACATCCCAGCACTCAGGAAGCTGAGGCAGGAGGACTGCCAGGAGTTTAAGGCCAAGCTGGGCTACTTAGTGAGTTCTAATCCAGCTTGCATTCATAGTGAGACCCTGTCTCAAAACACAAAACAAAACCAAATAAGCATGGCATGGTGTTGCCTGCCTATAATCCTAGCACTCCAGGAGGCTGAGGCAGGAGTTCACACTGTGCCCAGGGTCGCAATCAATGGGCATCTCCAGTGGGAACTCAAGAGACTGTGGCACCCAGCCTGCCTGAGGAGCTGGACTAGGGACAGAAGCCACACGGGCGGCCAGGAGTCCATAGGGAAGGATGACGGTAGAGGAGGGCCATAGCTGGCCCAGGAGTGAGTGTGCAAAGTGCACATGACAACGCCTGGAACACTGCGCAGTGACCTTGTCCTGGACACTGGGGCCTGGGGACTGAGGGCTGGGAAAACGGATAATGGCAGCCAGGATCCGGGGGCTGTCATGCAGTGGAGCTGAACCAGGAGATACTGCACTTGTAGCCAGGAGAAACACCTGGGTGTTACTGGCCTCCTATTGTCCACTCAACTACATTTTAAAGTGCACTGGACAAGGCCGCAAAGTCTACCTGGGCAAGGAGCCGGGCCATCTGCTGTGGGGCTGGCGGAGGCCGAAAACTCAGCAGGGCTTTCCCGCATCCTCCTCCAGACTCCTCCAGGGATTTCAGAGCCACCCGCCTCCTCGGGCTGAGACCGCTACAGACTTGCTTGTTTGGTGATGCTTCTGGTTTCCAAAACCCTTTGCCCTGGGGCCCTTCCTGCATCCACACTCCCAGCTCAGATCACTTTCAACCCATGCAGTCTTAGAGAAAGGGCAGGTGCCCCAGGACTTCAGGCCCCATATGGGGATTCGCACGGTGCCAGACCTGTTAAGTGAGGTGGGTGAGGACCAGTGCGCTGTTCCTATGCACTGCCTTTCTACTGGATGGTGCACAGCAGCAGTGTGCTCCGTATTTTTGATCAAAGTTTGTAAAGACACTCCAGAAAGAGGACTTAGAGCGCTGCTACAGAAAGTGGCATGGAGGATGGGTTGACCATGTTCCAAGTGAGGGGAGAGTCCTACAGGGGATTCATGGCACCGTGTCTTTCACTGTGACACTTTTTCTAAGTCTAAACATCCCCTTGTTCTGGGCAAGGGGAGTGGAGTGCAGCTCTCGGGCACCTTGCTAAGTGCAGGGTCTTCCCCAGTGCTTGGTAAACAGTGCTCAGAATGCACCATCGTGAGGGGTAAGGGCAGGCATAATAAGGGCTGTGAATGTGACCAAAATGCCTGCACACTGTGATGGCGCACACCTCTTAACCCAGCACTTAGGAGGCCGAGACAGAAGGATGCCTTGAGCTGGAGGCCACTCTGGGCTACATAGCAAGACCTCACCTCAAAAACAAAATGAATTTAAATAGGACAGCATGCTGGTGATTGATTGCTTTAGATGGAGGAGCTTCCAGGAGGTTGACAGTAAAGCTCTGTACTTTTAATTATCTACAAAACCAAAGGAAATAGAACAACAAACAGCTTCAGATTGGATTCAGCCCTAGAGAGGCGGAGTGTGTGTGGAGGTTGATAACTCTGTAGCTGCCTGCTCCCCAAGACACTTCCAGGAAGGAAGCAAACCTGCTCCTACCCCTCCTCTTCGCCCAGCCCAGCCTCAGGGTACCTGGTCTCCCCCGGGAGGAAGGTGACAGGCATGGTCTCTGGGCAGCCTTGGCCAGGATGCCAGCGAGCCTTGCAGGCTGAGCAGAACTCCATGTCACATGACTTGCACTGTACCAGCTGAGGCGTTTGCAGCCCCAGGTCCTGGAGCTGGCACACAGCTTGGCAGGTGGATGCCGGGCACCAGGTCCGGCAGGGATCGAAGAGCACCTCTAGAATAAGGAGGGAGAGGGGCATATCAGAGGTGGACAGGTGAGGGGCCCAGCGGCAAGGATCACATCTGGGTAACAAAGGCAGACACAACAGACTTCTTATGATAGTGAGTCTTGTGCCCCTGGCGCTCTGGGATGCCCGGCTTGCCCTGCACACCTCGGGCTCAGCCCTGGATCCTTTCACTCTGCAAAGCTGTGCCTATCTGTATACTGGGCCCTGCGTCCTCTTCTGTCCCAATAATCTGACCAGGTACTCAGCACAGAGGGTGCAACTGGAAAATGTTTGTTAAAACCATGGAAAGGTCCTGGGAGCCTGAGGCAGGAGGATCATAAACTGGAGCCCAGCCTTGACAACAGAGTGAGACTCCTATCTCAGGAAAAAGAAAAAGAAAGAGAAAAACAAACTAAAGAAGGGCTAGGGAGGTCATGCCACGCAAAAGCCCTGGATTCAATTCCTAGTACTGCAAAGTAAGGGGCAGAGGGGGAAAACAGGAAGAAAGTGGCTGAATTAATCTAACCAGGGTTTTCCTGCCTAAGGCTGTCTCCCTCCCAAATGTAGACCTACACCATGAGCTACTGCGTAAAACTAATCCTGCGCCAGCAAACCTGGCCTTTAAATTGGATCCCAGGTTACCAAGGGGCCTCCTGCTGTGGAATTAATAAGTTTCTAAAACCAGGATTCATATTTGCTCACATCCTTGTCCGAAAGTGCCTTTATTGAGATAAGTGGTCCCGAGCTGCGCTTCCCCGACAGCCTGCTGTTCCGGTCACCGTCTGGGTAGTGCAGCAGGTCCTGAACTCTTAGGGGAGGGGAGGGGGCACTAACACCCCACCAAAGCCGCCAGAAGCTGCAAGATCAGTGGCTGCTTTTAAAGGCCTTCCAGAGGCCACTAGCTCCTAGATGGTGGGGCACTCAGCAGGACTGCCCTGGGAAATCATCTAAGGACACCTGAACTGTGCTGAGGAAAACTGGGAGTCCTTGCAAAGTGCGGGTCAGATGGGCTATTTTCTCAGCTTCAAGGACAGGAGCTGTACTATGGGATCCCAAAAGGTTAGGCTGGGGGACCAATAGCACTGGGCAATGGTCACGGGAGACCTTCCGCTCTCCTTCGATGTGATGTCCCAACTGTGCATGGGTGCCTCCCCACACACACACAGGCCCCTCTGCGATCACCACGGGTCCTCATGCACAAGGGAGCTGGACCCAGGGCTCCAGAGTGAGAAAGGTCTTTGTCAGATATGACGTTGGTAACAACAGAGGCCAGAAATGCTGACCAAAATCTTTGAGGACTGTGTGGTTTCTGGGAGCTTGTGGCTTCCCACAGTTTTGCTGTTGCAGTTAAAAGCAGGCAGTGATCTGCAAACAGGGTGCTCTGGGAAACCTGAATCACGGCAGTCCCGGGCTGGCCCCCTGCCAAAGCTAGCCAATCCTGATCCCATAAAACAAACCCTGCATTTTTCATTTTAAAAAAGGTGAATTAACCAACAGCACAGAACTATTACATCAGTAGGGCTGGAAGGACATGGAGAAGAGATTGACCTGGAAGGAACTGCAGAGCTCAAGAGACTGCTTTCCAGTGTCAAAGGCTCCAGGGGCCCTTGGTCCAAGAGAAGGCGCACGTGAGCTCTTGACCGAGTAGCCCATACTTTCAGTATCTGCTTCTCCACAAAGCTTCCCAGTAGTTATATGTGCAGATATGAGATACAATTTTAAGAATACAGTAAGTGTTTAAGTTTTTAAAAATCATGGTAAAAGACATGTTCTTCCTTCTCACTTTGAACACTTTCATCCCACCGTCCTTGCCACTTCCTGCAGCAGCTCTGGAGACCTCTTCTTGAGGGTCTTTAGCTGCGCTGTCCTGGCTGCCTCAATGCCCTGAAATGACTCAAAACATTTCTCAGTGTGACTGGGCAGAACCTGGAGTCAGTCGCACAGCGCAGATCTGGTGGATAAGGTGTATGAGGACACAGCGTCATGTTTTTAAGAGCTGCTTTGCCACTGGATGGCGCTCGGCCACAGCATTCACTGCATTTGTGATCACACCTAGTAAAGACCCTCAGGGAAGAGGACTCCAGAGCTGCTGCAGGAAGCCACCAGGTCGATGGGATGAGTGAGTTGGAATCGAGGGGGAGGATTTTGAGGGGGAATTCCTGGCAGTGGGCCTTTTACTATAATAAAATTTTTATGTTTAAACATTCACCATATAACTTGATCATCCATACATGCAAGCCTATCTACCTATTACAGTGTGTCTAACAGTGACCCTCAACACACTGTATCTTACAGAGTGCACTGTATCTAGTGTTTTCTCTATGTCAGACATGTTCTGAAACAAGCCAAACTATATTTTCTGGAGCAGTAGCAGAAACTACTCATAACAAGACAGATTAGTACCATCACATTGTTGGGGTTTATGTTTAGGAGATTGGAGTTAACATTAGTATCTTGACCTCCTCAGTGAAGTTCCCAAACACCAGTCTCAGGAGCTATGGGTTCTACTCAGGCCCGATTTGGGGGTACATCCTGGTCTGTTGTTTAACCTCCTTGAGCTATACTCTTTGGAAAAAAAAAAAAGTAAAATCTAATAATAAGTGTTGGTGAGGTTGTGGGGAAAAAGAGACTCCCATTGTTGCTAGGAATCTAAAGTCTCTAGAAAACTGTGGGGAGATGCCTCAAGAAAGTACAGCTAGAAATTCCTTTGGAGCAAGGTATTGCCCTCTCAGGTGTCTTCCTGAAAGGGTTAAAGACATCATCTACAGTGATCCACGCAAACCTTTGTCTATAACAGCTACATGTCCTGTATGTTCATCAGCACGTGAGTGGGTAAAGAAAATGTGTTCACACACAATTGAGTATACTCTGCCATAAAGAAGGATAAATGTGGGCCTGGGATTTAGCTCAGTGACTGAGGCGCCTCCCTGGCAAGTGTGAGGTCATGAGTTTGATCCCCTGAACCAAAACACAGGATGAACTCAAGTCAAGTGTAGGAGAATGGCTGCACCCTGAGACCACAATGTTAAGCGAAATAAACCTAGCCCAGCGCTTCCATATTGCCTGGTTCCTCTGATATGAGAGAACCCTTCCCGTCCGCACACTGAGTTAGCCAGTGGCAAGAACAGGTGCTCAGAAGGCAAAGCAGCTTCCTTCCTTGGCTTCCATCTTGCCTAGGGCTTTTGCTGGGAACGCCAGGAGGCTGAAACAGGAGGAGCACAGCAAATTCAAGACCAGCATGAACTACATAGTGAAATGCTGTCTCAAAAAACCTGAAGACATGGGCCGGGGATATAGCTCAGATGCCTGGCAAGTGCAAGGCCATGAGTTTAAAAGGAGGAGTAGAAATGTCTACATTACATCCAATGAGACACACTAAGACTAAATAAAGGCAGACACATTTGGAACTTAAGCTTGCTGCAGGACTTTGTGGTGACTAAATGTTGTCAAAATTCATTTAAATGACTCTCCTGCTCAGCTGCTCTCTGTGGTCTGCATTACAGAGGCATCCAGCAAATCAAAATTTGCTTTCCCATCACATCTCTCGCCCAGCTGGTTCCAGCACCTGGCTGTGATCTGTGGCTATATATATATAATCTGTGGCTATGTATATATGTATATATATATATATATATATATATTTTGTCTTTTTCTTTTTTATTGGTACCGGGGATCGAACTCACGACCGCCTGCTTGCAAGGCAGCTTCTTATGCCGCTGAGCTAAATCCTCAGCCCCCAGATCTATGGCTATATTTTAAGGAACATCCTCACGTGTCATTTGGACAGGTCCTTGGTCATTTTAAAACTAAGTCTTTTTAAAAAAAAGTTTAGCATAATATTAGTTAAATGTTTTCAAGTGAGCAGTTTGAAAGGTATTTTTCTAACCTAAATCAAGTTGGCTTCATTTTTATTCAAGAGACAGAAGTGGGGGGAAAAGCCTTTTAGAGTAAGCCAAAGTACTAAACAAAAAAGTTGAAATTATTAGGTAGGAAAATTTACCCAGCTGCATTTTAAATTAGATTCAATGCCATGGAAAGTTTATATTCCTGTAACCCAAACATCTCCAGGTTTCTGTCGGGATTCTCTCTGGAAAATATTTTTAGAAGAACCTGAAAGTCTTAGGAATACAAATTAATCAACTTTGCAGGTCCTGGATCTGACTCCCATTTCATGACACCACATCTGTGCTAGAAAATGCCCCAAAGCACGTCAGAGATGCCATTTATACAAATGAGCTCTTGAAGACAAATTTCAAAGCTGTGAAAAAAAATCTTGCATTTTCGAAAATGAAGTTGGCTGTGCATTTGTAATCGGTGTACTGTTTTTGAAAAATCTCCAGAGGAAACAGAGTTGGCCTTAGCATTTCTGTTAAAAATTTAAAAACACAAATGAAAATGAACAAACAAAACCCCCTAAATCCCAAAAGCAATTTCCTCTGCTCCAGTCTGCCTGCTGCTCCCACAGCCAGCGATGCCACGTACACCCAGGGTTGCAGCAGACACAGGCAGGAACTCGTCCTGGGACAGCGTGACTGGACCCCAGGGGTGAACAGCTCTGCTCCAGGTCTGGGAACCCGAGAAGTGTCCTTGCAATGAAGCCTCATGGATGAGGCATCTTCTGCCTGTCTTTCCCTCTACCCTCCTGTGATCAGCCTCAGGTCCAGAACATATGTGAACACGAGGCCAGACAGGGTCTGCAGGTCTTATTGTTTCATAGCTGAGCATGTTGGTACACACCTACAGTTTCAGCACTCTGGGAGGCTGAGGCAGGAGGATCAGAAGTTCTAGCTCAGTTTGGGTAACTCAGTAACTCAGTGAGACCCTGTCTCAGAAGTAAAAATAGTAAGGGCTGGGATGCAGCTCAGTGGGAAGGCTCTGGTTTAATCCCCAGTATAACCAAGTAATAATAATAATGATGTTTCAGAAGGCAAATACTGTGTTTCAGTGCTTTGCAGTGTGATTCCCCAAGTCAGAGCTGACATCTCGCTGTGCTCACCAGGGCCAACTCACTCCACACAGGACCCAGAAGGATCCCTGGGTCTGCACTGGGCCAGGCCCAGGAAGTAGGGCTGTGCAGAGCCAGCAGGAGGGGTCAGGACTGCAAACCTGGAGTCTGCTCCTTAACCCCGAGCACAGGTAGAAAGCAGACAGTGGTCAGTGGCTCTAGCGGTCAGCACTGTAGGTACTGATGGGTCTGCCCACTGGCTATGACCCCTCCGGAGACGCAGTGCTCATCTCTCATCAGCACCAGCACCAGTGCATCACCTTTGTTAGCGGTAAGCACACAGGTGCCCAACCTCCTCCTGTGCCTGCTGAGAGCCCAGCCCTGGAGCCATTAGACCACAGCAAAGCTGAAGAACCAGGCCCCATAAAGGTCACATCTCACATCCACCTCCAGGGCCCCCAATCTCTAGGACACATGGTGCTTTCCTGGGCTCCTCCTGCTAGTAACGGGTCACCAGCCAGGACTTGGAAACTCCCAGCCTCTCAGATAACTCAGGAGACCAGCCAACCCCACAAGCTCCATTCCATCAACACGTTCACCTTGGTGTAGCTTTTTCATGCCCATCAAGTGACATCTAGTTGCAACCCCCAGCCTCAACCCCATCCCACTGGATGACAGTTTCCTGGTAAACGGAACACCTACCTCTTTCAAATTGTAGCTTTTTATATCTTTGCATTATTTCCGCCGCGACCATGCATTCGATCTAAAAGAGGAAAAAATAAGGAGTGTAACATACCAGGGACCAAAAGGATAAAGCAACACAGAGCCACACCCCACCAGCCAAGGGCTTAGTCTACACGTGCCTCATTCTCCTGCAGGTGGCCTTGCTTGGGACAGGCAGCATCTGGGCAGCTGATGGCAGTTTCAAGTCCTTCTTTGATCAAGAGCTCCACATACTGCTTCAGGCACTGGAAGGAAAGCAGAGAAGAATCCACAAACATCTCAGTCTCCTACCGCACAGGCCTAGGGACACTCGAGGAAACGGCCAGCCAAGCCTCTCTTCCCAATTTATGCTTTTGCCAGCGAGCTCCTAGTAAACACCAAGTGGTGAGAATGGCAGGTTTGATTCACGTGCCAAGAACTTATGGGGTTTCAACTGACACTAGGATTGCACACTGGGTCCAAGTGCTGGCGGGGCAAGGTTAGCTCTGCGCACACCAGCTAACAGGAGGCCAGTGCTCGGAGGGGCTAGGGCTGGCAAGAGACACTTCACACATACACAAAAGATATCAGATGCCTTACTATAGTCTGTTGTTTCTTTTATTCAAAATATCCTTTTTCTCCTCTTGCAGTACTGCGGATTGAAGCCAGGGTATTTGCACTTAGCCACATCTCTGGCCTATTTTTAATTTTTTATTTTGACACAAGGTCTTGTAAGTTTCTTAGATTCAACTCAATCTTGCAATCCTCCTGCCTCAGCCTCTCAGAATACAAGGTTTACAAGTGTCCAGGCATTGATAGAAGGCACTGATGGGGCATTCAGGGTGGACAAGCCTAGGCCAGGCATTCTCTCCCAGACACCAGATGGCAGCACTGTCCCCAGTGTGAGGATGAGGGAGGGCTGGAGATAGAGGAGAGAGAAGTCACAGTGAGTCCATGAGGCTTGCACCATGGTCCTGCTTGGTTTAGAGGTGAGGTAGGGCTGTCACAGGGGCAGAGAAGTGGGGTGCCCTGTGTAGGATCGTTCAGATCAAAGACAGAGGAAGACTCTTTGAAACTAGGCAGCTAGATGTGCCTCTGGCTCCTCCAACAAGAGGCCATGAACCCAGTGACTCAATACATGTGGCCATCAATTCCTCAGGTCCAAAGTGTGATGCCCACATGGCTGGACCTTGCATTGTACAAAATAAAGCATCCGAGGTGGGCATGGTGGTGCAGCCCTGTAATCCAAGCACATGGAGAATCACTGTGTGTTCCAGGCCAGCTTGGGCTACGCCGTAAGTTCAAGTATAGTCCAAGCTACACAGCAAGACTATGCAGAGAGGGAGAGAGAGAGAGAAACAGAAAGAGAGAAAGAAAAAGAGAGAACCCAAAGGTACTCATGCTTATCAGGATTCCTAGTACCCAGCACTAGCAAAGAAATCAGTGCCTGTTGTTAACTTGTTTGTCCATCTGTGTGATTCACACGGCAAGAGGCATTTTAAAGAAAAACAAAAAACCCACAACCCTTAGCAACAAGCTCATGATTTTATTTTCTGTAATTAAGTTTGCCTGTATTAGGGCTTTGGGGGACACCGGAATGTCTTAAATCTAGGGAATGTGGGAAACTCTAATGACATTGGACAGGGTGGTGGATGACATGATTCCTCCCAAGAAACAAAATACAGCAATTAAAACGGGTGTGCCATGCATGTCCCAGAGCAGAATCCCAGCACTGCTGTTGTTCAGGAGCTTGCAGGGGCCTTAGCAGTGAGTCATGTCTGGCTGACAGTGCCCGAGAGTGGCCTGAATCTGCCCCAGAAGGCCCTTGCTCTCTCTGCATCATGTGTGCAGGGGATCTGTCCATCTGTTTACTACACAAAGACTGGAGAGGGCTGGGTGCTGCATCTGTAACCATCTGAACAGGCCCGTCTCCTACCAGACAGAAAGTGGGTCATGACTCAGCCATGCTTCCCCATCTAACAGCAGAAAGATGTCTTGAAATGAACATAAAAGAAAGGGTAGACAGAGACACATATGCAGCGAGACATGCACAGTCCATGCGCAGACACCTCATCATCATCATCATCATCATCATTATTATTATTATTAGCAGTACTAGGGATTGGACCCAAGTCCTTTTCATTGAGCCACATCCCCAACCCATTTTTAATTTTGAAACAGTTCACAGATGAGGCTGGGATTTGAGATCCTCCTGCCTCTGGTTCCCAGAATGCTGGACAGCAGGTGTGTGCCACCAAACACTTCTGCTGTCACTTTCAGTGCTCAGAGAGCACTGGGCTCTCAGTCCCTCTTTATCTTTATCTAGGCATTGAGCCTAGACAATGTCATCTCACCCTGTTCCAGCTGAGCAGACGGAAGCTTCCCACAGTAAGGAAAGAGTGCCGAACCAGGCTCAGAGGATTACAGACTCTCTGCTAAGTGATCACTGACAAGTGCTTTCTGTGACCTCCAGTTTTTTAGTAGAACAAAGACTGACAGGAAGCTGCTTTCCTTGGTCACACGGATGCTGAAGAAAAGCAACACTGGGCCCTGACATCTAGGGCTCAGACCCTGCTGTGGGAGATGAGGGCACACATGAACTCTGTGCCCAGGGGCCCAGACATGACCAGGGGAGGCTCTGCATGGCCCCCGAAGCAGCAAGGCAGCCTCCTGGCTGGGGTTGGGGAGAAGCCAGGAGACAAACGGGTGGCCCAAGGGATTCCGGGAAGAAGCCTCAGCCGGAGCAGACAAGCAGATCGGGGAGGGGCAACAGAGCCAAAGAATGTTCCAGGCTTCCCATTTTCCACTGTGGCTTCCAATGCTATGAAATCTGACAAGGAGACAGCCCACAGGCCTCCACCACACCAGCAACTTTCTGCCAAGGAGCAGGGGCCACACTGATGACCCTCGGCCTCAGCCCGCACTGTATAATCTGAAGTCTGTTTGTTTCCTCCTCGAAGGCCTGTTGGCTACTGACCATCCTAACAGCAAGAGAAAAGGCCAGGAAACTGGCCTTCAAGAAGCTTGCACAGCTTTAGCATATGAGAAATCAGCGCATCACACCCAGGCAGATGCAAACAGAAGTAGCAGGAACCCAGAAAAGAGCACTGATTTAAAGGGCAGGCCCCTGGAAAGCACAGAGCTGGGCTTGAATACCAGCTCTCCCTCATCACTGCCTGGCAGCCAGGCCAGGTGTTCACGCCTGCCCTGCATCTTGGGGTGCATGCTAAGTATGGAAGGCACAGAGAGGGCAATGTGGGCTGTGGAAGATCGCACAGACCCCCAAGCCTTCTCACAGCCTTTCTGGAGGCCTTGAGGATGGATGACCTTTTATGCTTCTTTGCCTCAATAGGAAGTTGTATGAAAGTGAGAATAGTTTATTATTTTCTTTCTACTCCCCATATCTAATGGTGCTGGGAACTGAAAGTGGTAGGGAGCATGGGATAGATCCAAGCTTCACAGATGCACAGATGGTACGAAGAATGGATGGAAGGATGGATGAATGGATGTTTCAGTGGATGGATGGATGGGTGGATGTTTGGATGGATGGATGGATAGATGGATGAATGAGTGGAGAGAAGGATGAATATATGGAAGGATAGATGGATGAGTAGATGGATGGATGGATTTAGAGAAGGATGGATAAATGGATGGATGGATGGATAAGTGGGTGATGTGCAGAATGACCAGACACCTGCAGAGAACCTTTTCCCTCCATCTCAGAAGGGAACTGAAGACCTGGGACAGAAATCACACTGTATACACACAACTATGGCAGAGCATAGTCATGTGGGGCTCTGCTGGTGGCTCACCCAGCACAGCTGCGCGAGGACACCAGCATGAAGCCCCACAAGTGAATCCTGACTGCTGGCCTTGAGAACCCAGAGCAAACTGTTCCCAAGCCCACAGTGCCAGTTCCAGCAAGAATGATGACCTTGGAGGCTACAGGACGTGACTTTACTCACAAGTCAAGAGTCCAAACTATGAAGACTGCTTCTGTAAAATTACCGCAAGAAAAAACTCCAATGCTTACATGTTAAAAAAATGCTCTCATCTCCCAATCCTCTATGCTGTCTCCCTCATAAGGCCCTCCAGGTGCTGATGAGTGTGCCCTGTGTGCTCTGGGTCTGTGGCCCCTGTGGGACTTTTGACACCTTGTATGGTTTCTAGGATGAAGTCTCTCAAATAAAGATCAAGGAGTAGAGATATCAGGGTACACTCCTAAAATCCTAATGTGCTGGAGGCTGAGGCAGGAGGATCGCAAATTCCAGCCTAAGCAGTGCAACTGATTGAATTATCAAGACTTTGTCTCAAAATAAAATTTTTTAAAAAAGGGTGAAGGCTGTGTAGCTCAGCAAGAGAGGGAGATTTTAATGCAAAAAGCAAGTGTACTGGAATTAAGAGGCACCCAGCAATAGTCTAGAATGAAAGCCAGGTGTGGTGGCACAGTCCTGTAATTCTAGTACTTGGAATGCTCCGGCAGGAGGATTGTTGCAAGTTCAAGCCCAGTCGGGGCTACAAAGTGAGCTCAAGGTCAGCTTGAATTGTACAGTGCAACCCTGTCTCAAAAAGCCAAAAAATAAATAATAAAAAATCCAGAAGATTGCTTCTACCTCCCTGGCATGGGGCGCCCCTTTCTAGGAGGTACAGAATTCTGCCCATTCGAGGGCTTCCTGGAGCAGTGAGAAGGTGCAGAGCACAGGCCTTTGGAGTGGCACGAACCTTTGTCAATTAACAGTGCATCCCCTCAGCTTTTATCAGTAAGGTTTAGAAGCCCCTACACCCCAAGATAAAAGAAAAGGCTGCTAGGTTGCGGCCCTGGGTCACACAGGTCTGGCTGCCATCTGCAAACATGAAGGGGAGAGGGCACAAGACACAGGCCCACCCTGCTGGAAATCAACCTTGCTGTGTCCTTCTCCACAGGGATCCAAGCTGGCCAGTCCTTCCCATTGGTGCACACACCTCCAAGCCCACCAGTAAGGCATGTGCTGGGCACCCTGCCAGCAGGGCCCCTCAGACCTGGACTGCACCCCAGAACCACAGGGACCTCAGCCACCACAACTCTAGTTGCAGAGCAGACAGGAACCAGGGCAGCAGCAAATACCCCCTCGCCTGCCCAGGGTGTGGGGGCCTGAGGCCTGCAGAAGGCAAGGCCAGTGACCCAGAAAGCCGCAGCACCCCCTGCACTGCACATGGCTGCCAGCTGCAGACAGGGGGAACTGTTTTCAGTGCTTTACTTTTTAACAAATAGCTGAGGGGCCAAAAGTCAGCACTGTCTTCTTGCATCTGGGGCTGGGCTGTCACATTCCCAGAGTTAAGCTTTCCTCTGGGAAGAGCCTGCTTATCTGTTTCACTAAGGTTCCCTAAAAGGAGGAAACCAAAAGGCAAACAATCAAATGAAAGTTGGGGAGGGAGGAAGAGCACACAGCACAGCCTCTGGCAGCCTGCAGGTGACAGACAGCAAGTCAGGGAAGTCCCCAAAGGCTTTTGCAGAAAAGGGCGATCTGGCAACTAGTGTAGACTATAAAAAATGTCCCTCCAGATATCAGTGAAGGGTTCTACAGAAAGCTGAGGGTTTCAGGAACCTCGACAAGCTCACCCTCTGGTTCAGCCTCCAGCGAGCACTGAGCACACACCCGCGACAACTGCATAAGGACCCCCTCACTCCCGATCTCCCACATTCCCTCCACCCTCCTCCCGCCACTCTGAACCCATCCATAGCAACTTCCCCTCCTGCACCTTGAAGCTGCTTTAACAGGGCTTTCAGGAAGCACATTTCTCGGATGTGAGCTCTGGCATGGGCCTTAATTCACGTGCTTTCAATCCCTGAGCCCAGATCAATTTGCTATCTCGAGACCTGCACTTAGCAAGGTGTTCTGGGGATGTAGGAGAAGCCAGCTCTTCTGGCCATAAGAAAGCAGCAGCAGCAAAAATTCAGAAGATGGGGGCCTTAAACTCGCATGGCTGGGGCTCCAATCCAGAGCTGGGTGCTGTGCCAAGTCCCAGGGCGATCATGAGGCAGAAATGAACAAAAGTCTGCGAAGCAAAAGCAGGAGTGGCGCCCTTCTCTACACAGACGGGTGGGAGTGACGGAGTGACAGAATCCCACCTCTTCCTTTAAAATATCTACAAGCAATGCCCACACTGGCAAGCTAAGGCAGCAGTTAAATTCAGAGGCCACACCCTTGAACTTTTCTGTTTGCTAGTGTTCAGACACAATCTCTCTATGTAGTGCAGGCTGGCCTTGAACTCACTACGTAGCCCAGCTTGGCCACCAACTTGTGATGATCCTCCTGCCTCAGCCTCTCAAGTGCTAGAATTAGAGGTGTGCACAACCCCACCCAGCAGTGCTCTTCGATTTTTAGAGAAAGTTCTTCTGGGTGCTTAAAAATCATGACTGTGGGCATCTCCTCTTTCCAGCCAGAGGCGAGCGATGAACATCTCTCAGAGCAACTGGCACAAGCACAAGACTGGAGGCAGAAGACTGCCCTACCACAGGAAGCAGGAGTATATGGGTTGGGTCTCCTGCTGCTGACACTGAGATTGGCCTCTGCCGAATACACACAGTCCGAGTCAGGAGGCAACAAGAAGTACAGAGCCCCAAGGCTGGATGTGAGAAACCTCTGGGTGTTGTACCCCAAAAACGAGGGTCATCGGCGTTGTTTACAATACGTCCAGTAAAGAGCTTGTCTGCACCGAGAGCTGCACCGAGGAACCATGTCGAGCTCCTTGACAGTACCCTGCATGGACGCACTACCCTGGGCTGCAGGAAGAGCACCAAGCTGACTCCTGAGGAGCTAGAGATTTTAAACAAAAAACGACCAAAGAAAATTCAAAGGCTAAAGAATGCCAGAAGCAGCAGTGTTAGCGAAGAGCGGTTTCAACCTGCATGGCATCGGCACTGGGCCAGTAAGGTCAAGCAGACTGCTGTGTGCTAGAGGGTGAGGAGCTGGAGCCCCGGAGGGGCAGATTAACCTTCGCTCCTAGCTTCCCTCACATCATAAAGGTGTTTATTATTCTAGATTTAAAAAAAAATCATGATGGTGGCAGTATTTAATTAGGGGGCTTTACTGACATATAACTGACAAATAAAAATTATATATGACTGTAATCCTGGCACTTTAGGAGACTGAGGTTGGAGGATCACAGATTTGATTCCTGTCTGGGCAACTTAGTAAAACCCTGTCTTAAAATAAAAAATAAAAGTGCTGAAGATGTAGCTAAGTGGTACAACCAAAAAGTTTTTACAAATAAAGCGTGTATATGTTAGGGGCACAGCTTGATGCTTTGATGTATTTTAGGCTTTTGTTAGTTTTCGTGAGAACCGTTCATATCTTATAGCAATCTCCCATATAGAACACGGTGCTACCAACCACATTCAGCACCACTCACGTCTCCAGAACTCCAGTGTCCTGCACAGCTGAGGCCTTCCCCTCTGCCCAACACCCCCCAAGGCCCTGGAAACTAACACATCCCTCTCTGCTTTGTGAGTTTACTTTTTCCCCTCCCCCTTGGTAATAAAACCAAGTAAAATCAAACTACAACTAATTGCATTTTCTGATTTTTCACTCAAGCTTCTTTCCTAACACATAAAAAGTCTAGGTTGGAGTCAGACACAAACCCAAAACGTCTTGAGTTGGAGCTCCCTATTTTCATTTAAAACCAGATCATCAGGGATCTACTTTTAGCCCCAGGATGTTGGCTACATCCTAAGGAAAGTTCATTCGAGCCAGAGACCCTGTTACAATCTCAAGCAAGGCATTCAAAATAAATTTAAAATGAGATGCAGGAAAGCTTTTTCCAGTCAGACAAGAACAAATTATCTGATCCATGTCACCAGCCTGCTTTTTGTAACCATCTGATACAGTTTAGCTCCAATTCCCCAAGGGTCTTGGCTTGTGTGGAGGTGACCCGATCACAGGGTGTCATACTTAAATCAGTGGATTCATCTATGGCAGAACCAAGTAGTTTAAATGTGGGGCCTGGTTGGAGACGGTCACAGTGGGGAGGGACCCAGAAGGTACACTGTTGTTCCTAGTTCCTCCCTTCTATCCTTCCTGTTGCCATGAGGTGAGCCGCTCTCCTACGCCAGACCCTCTGCCATCTCACTTCTGCCTTGGGTCCAGCCAACTACAGACTGGAAATATGAACCAAAATCACAGACTATCCTTTCCTGAGAGTTGTGGGTAACAGGCATCTGTGTTGTGGGTAACAAGACAAGAAAGTGATTAAGACATCCAGGTTAGGGCCAAAACCTTCTACTTTGGGCACCTGTTCGACTTATAGACCTCTCTGCCTAAAAAAAAGAAACCACACAAAAGTCTCAACAGAGATTCCATTGCCACACAACAGTGAATCAAAAGCGTTGCTCAGAATGCCTGGTTCCCACAATGGCTTCAGGGGAATGAATGCCACCCAAGACCAACCAAGGTACAGAAGATGCACTGGCACTGGGCAATGGTGGTCATCTGCTCCACTGGGTACTCCCCGAGGCACAGCTTGCAGGATACCAGTGGATCAAGGGCCAAGTCCCAGGTGGGCCGGTAGCGTGCTGTGGTCATTGCAGAGCAGTCTGAAACGAAAGAGACACACACAGTCAGAGCTCTGGGCCGTGGCCTCCAGGGAACCACTTCTGGGTCACAGGGCCTGGCCAAGGATGGGGCCAGGAAATACATAGAAATCATCCTGGTCCTCTGAGCATTCTCAGCCAGGGATCACTGGGTCTGTGAGTAGCTCCTTTACCAGCCTGATAAAACCTTTTTTATTTTTATGAGTTCACTTTTGCAGGACACAGGTGTCATGGGAAGCTGGCACACGTACATAACACATCTAAATTCCACGTTTCACCTAAAGTAAGACCCACAGGGAAAATAAGTTCTGGCTGTTTACAAAGGTGATGGCCAGGGTCATGCACTGCAAAGGGGTCAGCACCTGTCCTCGGGGCCACCCAGTCACTGCCTGTTGATTGCATAACTAAATCCTTCCATCTGAGATCTTAAACTTTCCCTGAGCCCACTTGATTTCAGCCCCTTGCACTTAGTCTGTCCCTGAACTAGTATCATCCCAGCACTCTGGGGGCTGAGGTAGGAGGACTATAAGATCCAGTCCAGCCTGGGAAACTTAGACACTTAGTGAGATCCCAGATCAAAATGTAACACTAAAAGCTAGATGTGATGGCTCATGCCTGTCACCCCAGCACTCTGGAAGGCTGACACAGGAGAACTGCAAATTCCAGCCCAGCTTCTTCCAAAGAATTCAGCCACTAATTGAATCTTTTTTTGTTTCCTTAGCACTGCATTTTGAACCCATAGCCTCTGCACCGAGTTGCCTCCCCAGCCCTTGTTACGTCTTTATCTGGAAACAAAGTCTTATGGAGTCACTAAGACGCTCAGCAAAAACCAAAGCCCTGCAAAGTCCTCTGCCCAGTCCTTAGCAAGGAGCCATGGCCCTAGACAGGACACAGAGAACCCTGTGAATGGTTTCTTGGGAGAGGGGAATCTCTAAATTCCTACCGCCCCTCATCCTGGCAGAGGCGACATCTCCCGAGAAGTTCCCTGCCCTGGGAGCCTCTCCAGCCTCGTGCCTGCTGGCTCCCAAGGTCTTTTTTCCCCAGCTTGGACTTTTCCTGTTTACAAACCCTCCAACGTGACCCAAGGCACAGCGCAGAGCACTTGCTTGCTCTGCCCAGCTTCCTGGCTTTCCGTGTGACCCCCAGACAATGTGACAGTAGTGGAGCCTCTCTTCTGCTCCTGACCCGACCCAACTTATACTTGAAGCAGGTTCAGTTTTCAGAAGAACACAGTGGACATCTGTGTTCTTCTCCCCCCAGAGACCACAGTCTCAGAGCTGTGCTCTAAATCATGATTCCCACATTGGCCACAGAAGGACTTTCTTCTGTCCTAAGTGTACATTGTAGGAAACCATCCCGGGCTTTCCTGTGTGTGGGAAGCCCTCAGTTGGATTCTGCAAACCCTGAACAGCTGCAATTTGCAACAGGAATTTGCTAAGAGAATCACAATGCACCCTACAAGAAAACACAGGCTTTGTTTTCACAATGTGAATGTCAAGGCCTGGGAAACAACAAAGAACATCTGGTCGATTACCCATATTATTCAATTTAAGCAATTTAGAAATGTTTGTAAGGCGAGTAACTTACTAAGCACCACTGAGGTTACGGAAAGAGCAGGGAGGAGTGATGTGAATGGGGTGGATCCAAAGTTTAAATGGATTAAGGAGTGAAATACAAGACAGATGACAGGAGATGGATCTTCCGGCAGAAGGGAAGGGGACCATAAGATGGAAGGAAGAGAAGGGGAGAGAAAAAGAATGAAGGCATGTTACACACACTCTGTGTGATGAGCGTGATCATCACAGACCAGAAATCTCAATGAATACAAATTAAAATTAATAGCCAAGGGGCCCCCACATGACAACAGCCCAAGCAGTGTATAAAGAAAGCAAAGATCAAGGCAATTGGTGGCTACAGCCATCTCCTTTTCCCAGCTGCCGTGTCACCTCCAAGCAAAGTGAAGGAGGAAAAGAAATCCAGCTGGTCGTCCTCCCCCTCTTTCTCTGGAGACTCCTCAGAGGCCTGGCATCCCTACAGGCCGAGTCTCACTCAGGTTTCCTCCCTAACCAACCTCCCACCACTTCTGCAATCCCAGCAGCCCTCCTCGCCACAATCTACCCCAGGGCTCTGTGGAGTCTCCCCACTGCTGCCTGTGGCCTTCCAAAGGTCTCACAGTGTCTGCTGCCAGAGCAGGCAGAATCACCTGAGAGTCCCCAACTGCAGTTTCCTGGGTCCAACTCAGACCAGCTGCAGCAGAAGTCAGGGTAAGGTGTGCATGCACAGTAAGCCATGCATGCGTTCATGACCCTTTCAGGGGACCCCAGTTCGCAACACAGCCCGAGAGCCAGGGGTCTGTGTCCTCCCCTTGGTAGCACTGCTAGTCCTGCTCACCCAACTCCCAAGCCCCTGCAATGCAACATCCAGACCAAGCAGCCCAGGTCAGCATCTGCAAAGCAACCTCCATTCACTCATCCTCAAAACTCTTTCTGGGTCAGTGTGGCCTCCTTGGGGCCAGGACATGTATTAGTCTGTCACCTTCCTCAAGGGGAGGGGATGTTACCTAAAGGGAAGGCGGGGCACAGGCAGATAATCCACAATTACAGAGAATTACTAGGTGACAACATACATGGTAAATGTCTAAGTTAAAAACAATGATTACAGTACAAGACATACTGCCATGACTCTCCCTAAGAACCTTCCCTTCTTGCTTTAAACACGCTCACCCACCACCCCTGCTATTTTCTGCAGCACCCCATGATTTTACTCTGGAGTCCTCTTTCCTGAGGGTCTTTAAGAGTTGTGATCAGAAATATGGTGACTGCTGCTGCCGAGCACCATGCAACACAAAGACAGCTTAGAAACACAGGACGCTGTGTCCCCAGTCACCTTCCTCAGATCTGACACCGTGTGACTCCTGGCTCTTCCCCAAAATCAAAATGACCCTGAAAGGGAGTGGTTTCCAATCCCTCAGCGCATGGAGGCATCAGGGAGAATGCAACTAAAAACACTCCGGTCTCTTTATCTGTAACCATTGAACTAGGGGAGTTTGCTAGGTGTAACCGTTTAATGAGGGTTTTGCTGGGTGACTAACCTATACTCACCCCAGGAAGGGTACTGAGTAGAGCCCAACTAGATGTGGAAATGTCTTCTCTCCTGGGACTTCTCCCTATTAAAGTTCTGCAGGAAAAAGAAAACCTTCTCTAAATTCAGGAGTTGTGGGGAACAGGAAGAGCAGGCACCTGATCCCCAAAGGAGGCCCACAGACCAGAGCGGGGTGTCCATTGCCTGGGCTGCCACAGTGCAAGAGCAGAAGATGACATTTCCACAGGAGGAACTGCCACCACCACGGAAGGAAGCAGAGACACAGACATGCAAAGCCAGTGTAAGTGTACTGGGTACTTATTAGATTTCACCTAACTGGGTACAATGTCAATCACCTGCCTTCCCAGCAGTGGTGTCACAGGCAGCTAAGCTAGTTAGAAGTATTATAGGCAGTCAGACAGGACTAGGCCCTCAAAGAAGCTGGTACAGAGGACCAGCTGTCTCTGACCTTGGAGGGGACACGTACCTCTTGTTGTGGGCCAGATCTCAAAACAAATGCCACCACATCCTTAAATATAACCCCTAGGGATTAGGTACGGATCACCTTGAGAAGCCAGGAGTCACCATGCCAGCCCCACATAGGAACAGCCACTGATCCGTAGAGAATACTCGCTTGCTATGTGACTCCCTTCCCCATTTGTCCCTGATTTGGTTCAATTTTACCTGAATAATTAAAGTTATTGGTTGACCACAGCTCTGTCCCACCTCATGCCCATGTGCCTGGTGAGTTCCTAGTTTTCCCCACTTTAGACCCGTCTCACCCCATGATTTTACTCTATAAAAATCCCTAAAAAATACGGAATCTTTGGCAACTCACCCTGGACCCCTTCTATCTCTCAAACAGAAGCTTTCTTTCTCTCAAGAAATATATTTTGCTCTTAACCTTCGTTGTTCCTAAAACTCATTCTTTGACTTTAGAGAACATGAACTCGTAATAGACATATGGTAGGTAGAGAATTTCGTTCCCCTGTATCAGTGGGAGACTGACGCAGGAACATCACTACAAGTTTGCGGCCAGCCTGGGTTACATAATAGTTCAAGGCCGGCCGGAACTACCTAGCAAGACCCTATCTCAAAAATCCAAAGTTTTAAAAAATAAAAGTACGCACATTCCAACTGTTTATGCCTTTTACTGATGTGTTCTGAAAGAAGCATTTTTCTGTGATGGAACCATGAGCATCTCCATCTGTAGTCTGCACTATGGGTGGGGTGAGCAGAGGTTTCTCAGGTCCTTTTGGGGGACCTCCTGGGATGCATCTAGTGATAGGCACTGTCCACTTTTCCTGTGACCCTGACCAAGTAAGGAAGGGGCAGGTTGGTCGCTGGATGCAGCCCCAAGGTGGAGGAAGGACAGGGACCAGCCCTGGGCTCATGGCCCACACTTCCCTCCATCCCTGGCATCTGTGCCAGCCATAACACAGCAGGCACAGAAAGAGAAGCCGGATCAGGGCCCAGCTCCCTGCCCTGGACTCCCAGGACTCCTGAGATCTAAGAGGGACCCAGCACACAGCACAGAGAGCCTGCTGGGAGAAGCTCTGGAGAAACATCCGGCCTCCAGCCTCAGCTGTGCTGGGCTAAGCCTCTTTCTTCCTCCCCGGGCCTCTGCAGATCTGCAGGACAGGCCAGGCACGGGACTGGCCTGGGAGACAGTTGTGGTCCAGGCTGCCAGCTCACTGTTCTCATCTAGGCCCCACAGGGTGGAAGCCGCCCTCCCCCAGAGCACTGAGAAAACACTGGAACACAGCTTCAGTTTCTTTCTCTGCTTCCCACCCGAGGCCCCAGACTCAGGGCGCTTCTGATCCCAGTCCAAGGATGAAAGGCGGAGGGAGACAGAGAACCCATTATTCCCACTATGATTGATGCATCCAGATAAACAGGATCCTTTGGCTACCGGGGAGCAA